CTTGTTAATTTGCCACAAACAACTGCAATACCTTGAATATTAATAAAAATAGTATGTATGTTGGCATGATACAATTTAATATTATATTTTTCTTTGAAAATTCTTGTGTATTAATGTTCATTAATTAAAGTTTATGTAAGTGTTTATTTCCTTGCAGCTGCCATTTGTTACTTTATCTCTTAATCTTGACTTATTTATTGATCTCTGCAAATTGTTTAATCGTAGTGTTTTGATAGTTTACTTTATCTGGTAAATCAGGCGTGTCAACATTGAGGTCACTCCGTCCCAACATCGTTATATACCTAGAATTATTTACCAACACATGCAATTGACCCTATTAATTTAATTTTGTCTCGGACAATTAGATATGCATTACAGATAAGGAAAGGTTAAGGAGTACAGATCTACGACGAATAAATGCGTTAAATAAATGAGGATATTTCTAGCTTATGCAAATCATCTATATCGTCTCTTTATGTTGTCTGCAATTAGAACAATGAGTATATAGAAAAGAAGGTGTTATGGATAGTATGGTATCACAATGCAAATTTATAATAATTGTCTCAGTCATACAATATATATAATAGCTTGATAACGATGATCATGTTTTACAGATTTATTGATATATGTAATTTTAACATGGTTTTGAGCATTATTTTATTTATTTTCATATTTCGAATACGGAGAAAAAACGTTGGGTGCTAATACAACCTACCAGATCTGCGATACTAATGATGAGTATACTTGAATGCAAAGAACTACCACAAATCATTGAACAAGGTTTAAAGGCAAATACACTATTAAAGAAACAGATCGCTGGAAACGGACATATTTCCTGATAATACATTTTATACATCATAGTTTATCTGCTTAAAATAACAATGTTGAAAGGTTGTTGCTTCACGAAATTGGTAGCATAACCAGTTGTTCGTTGTTTTCTATTACCTAATCAACACAGTATGACATGCATTATATCCTAGTGAAATCTGTTTATTTATCTAGTAAAATAGTATGACATGCGTTAACCAACTTAAGTGTGCTACGATAGAGGAATAAACTTTTACAGAGAGATATTTTCGATCCGCATTGATAATTAAACTACAGTCACTGTTATAATGGGAGTTTTTCGGATACCTTCGTTATTCCGAAGACAAGAGCGCTATTTATATTTAATTCCAAAATACAACTAATGGTATCCAATCACATAATTCAAACTGGGATGCATCGACATCTGACGGATACACCCGCTATATTAAAAAATTGAAGTTAAAAGGCATTAATATGATCAAGATCTTTTGAAAATGTTTAAAAATTACTATTCATAAGTTTCGCAGCAGATAGATCTGTTATTTTCATTATTTCTTTACTAAGTTAGTAGATGGCTATTTATAATTAATTACTATGTTAAGTATTTTCTTATATAAACCATTTCTATCTTTATTTAAATTTTATTTGTATCACTAAGCTCTAATTATTTTTTAGAAAGAAGGTTTGTTACAGTACACATAACCAATATGGCACAATCACTATCTCGGAATAATTTTGGGGATACTCAATGCGTTACAAGGGCAGCATGTGTAACACATTTCGTTTGGGCAATGTAATAATGGATGTTACCCATTCTTTACTTGTCACACAATTATTACTTGAGTTCTCAGGCAGCCCTGAATAAAACGGGTAACTAGGCAGCCCTATCGTCGGGTGAACGAATCATTTGTTTGTCCATTTGACAGTTCTTTTGGATACATGTTTTAGTGTGCAAATGGTTTTTTTCATTCGAGGTTATCCGTCTCAGGTTGCAAAGTGAGCCCATACCCTTTAAGCATGGACTGGGCCAGAGCTCAACAAGCAGGTATATATTTTAGAGTAGGTATTAAATATACTTGAGTTACCTATGTTTGGCATGGGATGGGCCAGCGCTCAACATATCACGCGTAGAGAGGTATAATATTTTGAAGTAACATGTGTTCTTCGAATTATGCTTCAAGCTCTTGTCAATACTCTCTATCAAAGGCTCTCTTTGCTATTAAGTTCACATTGTTTGAGGTTTCATTTAATACTCTACGAGTTAAGTTTCTGTTAGATGTATACTCAAGCGGCTCATATCTTTCTTCTTATGGTCTAAGTTATTTGAAGTCACAGTAATACATCTACACTCTATCGTCTATTTCAGTTGCAGCGATAGATGCTCGAACAATGTGAATTTAATTTCTTTATTGAGATATGTATTTTTTTAAATTGCATATCAATCATAAGCATGTTGCCCGTAACGCCATTTTTTTTATATTTTTTACATTTGTATTTTATTTATTTTGTTTTGAATTGTTATGTAAATATATTAAATATTTTTTATTTTTTATTTATTTTTATTTTTTCCATTGGATTATAATTATTATTATTATTATTATTATTATTATTATTATTATTATTATTATTATCTTAATTTAAATTATACTTCATCAGTCGTTCTGGGTCTGTTTACATACCAGGTTTGATTAATAGCGCGGAGATGCTTCTAACACACATTAAATCTTAAATCAGCTGGGAAAAGGTCATCGTCCGTTCATATCTTTGTTTGAAAGAAACGCGGCACATAAAGTGTAATTAAAACGACTTGCACTTTAGTTACTAAATTTACCTTTTGAGTTTATATAAACGTATATGATACCCATTAAGAGGCCGCATGTGGATGCTTTTGTACAATTTTATCGTTTACAATAAGGTAAAAATTCTATACATAATAGCGTTACAGTACAAAACCACTTTAGGTTATATTGTAATACAAATATTCATACTCTTAACATTTGACAATAAAGACTGAGTACACACCACTAGCATATCGGTCTCAATGGTCGTTACTAAACTAAATACAGGATACATTATTGTAGATTTAAATACATGAAATCAGAAAATTAGCGTGACTAGTTGCATAGTTTATAATATTTTAATTCACATGTTTTCAATCTTTTAAATTTCTTTTACTTGACAATTTTGAAGAATTATACTTTTGCTGCGTTATTGACCGTTGGTAGTTGTTTTGCAATAGAACGCATTTGAAAAGTGATATCATAAATAATAAAAATATTGAAAACCGTCAATGATATGATAAGCTTATCGGACGCATGAAATTCATAAAGTGTTGTTTTCATTTTTTTAAACGATCGTATCAAAATGTAAATTGTTAACCTTTATGGATAAGTTCAATTTATTTTAACCTAGATTTACTTTTAACTGGTACAGTTGGTAGTTAAAAAGAAGACATGTTGTTCGTCATATATTTTGAAATAAAGATTTCGCTCGTTAAAACTTTTAATTTATAAATAATTACATTTATCTTTGAAATATAATATGTCACATTTTTGCTTAGCGTACCGTGTTATTATTATAACAATAAAATATATATGGACTCGCATATAATATTAAACAAGGACACATAAACTGACTTTCGAATATGCACATGTAAAAGAAAGCTGCAAACTTTAATAATATGAAACATGTGCTACGATAAAAGGGGACGAATTAGCTTTCTGAAATAGCATTTCTTATTTACTGTATAGTAAAATCATTTTGAATCTTGCATGAATTTCTAGGTCATAAATCAGTTTAAAATTTCAAATGACATTACACTAGTCATTGCCTTCAAAAATAACTAGTTATAAACTTGTAGTACCCTACGTGATTGGATTCATGATGCGTTTAACTGTTTTTTAAACTTTACAATAGTTTTAAACATTTAGGCTTTAGCCAGACTGGGCAAAACTTTTTGGAATTTTTGGTTGATAATGTTGATAATGTTCCTCAACTTCCTAGTTAATTAGGTTTAAAACCTGTTTTGATTCGAGTGCGATAATAGTCTCGTACTTTTCGTCTGTTAAAGACAATGTTAGAATTTGCCTTCTACGGTGAAATGTGTATATGTTGTGTACCAGTTATCATTTTGTACAAATTATAATTTGTATAAAAAAAATTGTACAAATTATAATTTGTATTTTGACTTTGTACAAATTGTAATTTCTGTTATACTATCAGAATTGTCACGGGGGTCAACTTCTATTATACTATCAGAATTGTCACTGGGGCCGATTTCTATCATACTATCAGAATTGTCAGTAGGGCTAATTTCTATTATACTTTCAGAATTGTTACTGGGGCAAATTTCTATCATACTATCAGAATTGTCACTGGGGTCAAGTTCTATTATACTATCAGAATTGTCACTGGTGCCAATTTCTGTTATACTATCAGAATTAACACTGGGGCCAATTTCTGTTATACTATCAGAAGTGTCACGGGGGTCAACTTCTATTATACTATCAGAATTGTCACTGGGCCCAATTTCTGTTATACTATCAGAATTGCCACTGGGGCCTATTCTATTTTACTATCAGAATTGTCACGGGGGCACATTTTATTTTTCCATCAGAACTGTCACTAGGGCCAATTTCTATTGTACTATTAGAATTAACTGGCATGCATCTATTAATCACATTTCCTCTTTCCAATTGGGTATTTTTGTATATTGTAAATATAAGGTTTATTGTGTTGTCATTTAATTAAAATTCTATAGTGTGTATCAATGCTTTTTTTATATAACAAAATCCATACTATAAATTATTGTACAAGTTATAAGTGAATTTAAGTCCAATTTTATACAAATTGTAATTTGTACAAGCACTTTTTGTGCAAGTTACAATTTGTACAAAGTTAAAATACAAATTATAATTTGTACACTTTTTTTGTACAATTATAATTTGTACACTTTTTTTGTACAAATTATAATTTGTACAAAATGATAACTTGTACACAACATATATAAAGGTTACATTAAAATATGTTTGTTTAGTAAATGGATGAACGATTACCAGCTTTATTTTAGTCATATATACATCTAAGTTGTTTTCCGATTGAATTTCGAAAAAAATCTACCCGATATTGTACAACACAAAAGCAAAATCGCGTGATATGAGACATGATCTCTTTTTCGTTCACATTAACCTATAAAATTAATACATCAAGTTTAATTTGTTTTTTTTTTTAATACGGTCTGCTTCAAATGAAACAGATAGATAGAAAGACATCCTACAAAATGTTTGGATTTTTTCAGATATTTCTGATATTTGTTGGTATGTACTCATATGTCATCACTTAATTTTGCATTCATAAGTATTCGCAGAAGTGTAGTCCTAAAAAACTTTTTCAAATAATTTATATTTAACAAACTGAACAGATTGTTATATGTACAATGTTTCATTGGAAAGCATATCAATTAGCTTATGATCTACAGCTTGAAGCAAGACTAAATTTTTTCATTTGGTTTTACCGCATTGAAATTGTGCATTGCACACTCTTGTGTATGTTTCTGTACTGCTTGTAAAGTACAATCTTCGATATAAGAGTGAAGGATGATAAGGTTTAATATTAACAGGCTAAGCAAGCCCTTTTTGCCTGCTTTTACATGTTTTAGTGTCGGCGAGCAATCTTTAAAACGATATTGTTAATATTTGTTTGTTTGCATTTTTATCATATATCATATCGTTATCATAATGTTTAGTGCGCTTCCTGTACTGGTTCAATAATGATTCTGAACTTTTATGATTATTTGTCTGTCGTTCAAACGATTGAGATTTAAAAGGGTAGGGTTGAATGAGATCTCGATAAATTAGTTTCATGCAAAAATGTTTCCAGAGGAAAGGATAGATTTTTACAAAATTTTAATGTCCGGAGTTTTCTCACAATAAAGTCTACAGATGAAAAAAAAAATTATCGTACATTAATCTTAAAAATGCAAACCTTAAGACTATTTCTCGCGAAGGATTTTTCAAATGATCAACATAACTTATTTCTCCCTGCAAGAAAAAAATCAAAGATGTTGATCCATTTTTCTCCTTCTCGCTTTCGTTTTTTTTTTGCTGATATTTTCAATAAACATGTATCATTCTTGCAAATGAAACTTTTTGATGTGATTACCTAAACTATATATAAATAAATTCCTAAAATTTATATGCAAAACATTTAATTTCATGAATGAAAAAAACTGTATCATTACAGTAACAATGAACATCCCCATTGACTGACCCCACACAGACGGTAATTTCTTATGATGAAATACAATATAGTACCATTTTCACATTATGCAACCATAAATTAGTTACCTCGATTTCACAAGGTTTAAGATTAACAACTTTGGCGATTTTCTCTCTCCAAAAAAAAAAAAGACACTGCTTGAAGTCCTTTATTAATTTATGTATCATTGTCACTTTCTTAGTTTCTTCAGTTACCTATCCTGACATCGGTCTCGGATTTCTCTTAAGCTGAATTTTACTGTGTGTATTGATGTGTGTTTGTTTATTCTACATCGGCTAAAAGTACAGGGGGAGGGTTTCATGACTCTACAATCTATCGATACCTGTATCTTTGCATTGCACAAGGTCATGTTTTTCTCTGACTGTTGATGAAGTCTTTACACTAAATCCAGTGCATGTTGAATGTGTACTGATTGATATTTTAGTCTAAGATGCATACTTTTTAATGTATAAGTACCCGTACACTCTGTATTTTTGTTAGATGTATTTCTATGTGTATCCTCTCGTCATTGTATGGTTTGTAGTTATATTTGAGACAATATCCAAAAAAGTATATTTTGGGGCAGAGGGAAAAACAAAAAAAATTCTTTGGAACCTGTATTTTAATAGCACAAAACAAAGAACAAACATTGAGGATTCAGGAACAGTTGTCTGTAATTCAAACAATTGATAAATGTGGTAAAAATTCCATATCTTTCCTGTTACTAAAGTGAATCAATTTTAAAAAAGTTTCTAATGTGAATGAGCATTAAATTAAAGATACTATTTGTGGTTTACTAGTACATCCTGCAATATTTTATCAAATGCCAATTAATTTTTGTAGCAAGACAACACATAATGTTAAGAAATACAGGAAATTATAGTCCGATTTGTAGGTAACATGAAATAATCTTCAGTAACAAGACAGAATTGGTAACAGAAAAGAACTTTATTTCAAAACAATTCCTTTGTTTTCATAGTTTAAGAAAAATACATCATTACAAATTGGTCAAAATTAGAAGATAACAGCATACAAAGTCATTTTTTTTTTTAAACTTTCATTTGGTTGATCATGGTGATGAAAAATCTGCCTATAATAAAAAATTATAAAAATAAATTCCTTTCTGTTACCATCTACTATACTAAAATTGCACAATGTTCTCTGCTGTTATCAAAAGTAAAAAAAAAACCCTGTCTTGACATTCAATAGACAGTATATTATAATAAGGATTATTTAATACGATCATAATAACTTATATATCATAAACTGTTTTGGCATATAGTAGGTTAACTTTGTGTTTCATCAGTAAAATTGTCTTTATCATTCTTCCTGTTACTAATTATGGCTATGCTGTTACTTTTTATCAGGTAACATGACAGAACGTAACAGAAAGGAATTACGCAGTACTTTTTGTCCTTTTATTTGAATTAAATGGAAGTGTACCTCCATCTACATATCAATTCAATAAGATGATATAAAAGCATACTTAATGTTATAGTGCTGACATTAAAATATTCTCAGAAGGTACACATAAAGGCTGTAACAGGACAGAACAACATAAGTATTCTTCTATAAATTCTTATCTTGGATGAGTTCGGATTTTTCAAACTGGCCGCCATTCAAACTATATATGTGTAGTCATACATTAAGGAAATGATGCTCTTCTCATTGAATTATAGGAAATCAAATCTTGGTCTTTCAAACGTTTCCATAGGTGAAAAAAACAGTGTTAACAGCAAGGAAAGTACCCCAAGGGACAAAATTTTATTTAAACTATAATAAAGTGCAAATTTTTAAGATATGGTTTAGTTATAAAAAAAACAGATCAATAGGGGACAACTTTCTTATAAAATGTATCATATTTGTGACAATTGGAAACTTATTTATTTGATTTGGATATTCTTTGAATGATTTGATTATCAGAAAACAACAGTGGACAACATGATTTTTGGGGGGTTGAACATTTAAATTATAATATTTTATTGGAAAAAATATAAGGAGGTGTGTTAAATTGGCAACAGTTGGTGCATTATATACTCTAGGTAATACGGAAACTTAAAATTTTCCAAACAGATAATTGAATTAAAAAATAATTGCCGATGAACGATGGAACAAGGAATTTAGACATTTTCAGATATTGTCTCATTTATATTCATGTTTATAACATAGACCATCGACATTTTGCAGAAATCATCTGGAGTCCTAAATAGGCGTGTTAGGATATTGATACAAATACTGCACTAATGATAAATAAAATTATTTCTTGTGAAGCAAAAATCTTGCAATTTAATCTAAGATACTTTGGGACACGACTATTTTTATAAGCCGTTCCCCTTTTTTCACAAATCTGTTATTTTTTGGTTTTCTATTTATTTCAATTATTTTTGGCGTTTTTTTTTCTGTATTATATAAACAAAAACATTATACTAGAAATAACTTGTATTTGCTATTTACTTTGTTTCCAAGTTTACTATCCACAGTGGTCACTGATATATATAATATATCAGTAACATTTTCATCGTCTTTTTATTTGCAACTCTAATAACGTTGTATTCATTGTCATTTTGTTACGGTTTTGCTAAGTTGGTGATGAGTCAAATCTTTTCCAACTGGTTTTGATATTTCGTTTTTATGTTGTGATTTTAAATCACTGTCATAGGTTAGGGGAGGGTTCACCACTAAAAACATTGTATAACCCCGATGCATTCCTAATGCACCTGTCCCTAGTCAGGAACTCGAAATTACATGGGAGTCGTTTAAGTCCTACAGTGTCCTATAGTCGTTAGTTACATCATCGCCTCTAAGGGTATGTTGGATTGTTATTTTATCTAGTATCATATCATATCTCCTTATTTTAATAAAAGCAACTATTAGTTAATGAGTAAACTTAAGAGATAACTGTATTATATTTGAACAAATACAATACAGTTATCTCTTAAAGTCGCAAATTGAGTTTTCATGGTGACGCTACGCGTCGCCAGGCAAACTCAATTTGCGACATTAAAACTACCGATGGACATCCGCAAAGCTTCAAATACAATACAGTTATCTCTATTCTAATGCAAAATAAACAAATCGTTGAATTTTAGTCATTATTTCAGTGTAAAATTATCGTTTAACAAAAATTCCGCGAAATGATGTTATCTTCTTTGGCGCCCAAAACTATGTGACGTCATAGGTAAGCTTCCGGCATCAAACGTAAACACCGGGCGTTTTCTGGCTTCTTGTCCGCTTCAGAATGGAATAAAATTTGATAAAAAGAAAACTTGTAGGTGCAAAATGTAAGTTGTTTGCTTATTATTGAAGAAATTACATGTCAATACATTCTGGAATTCAAAATGTCGGCTTCCTCAGTTACAGACAGGGAGATAGAGAATTTTACGCTTACTGTCATCCAATCAGAACCATTGATACAAAATAATTGCATTAGAATTAATGTTTAAAAGTCTGTGTCACTCACCAAGATATATGCCACTCTTCAAACAGAATACAATTCATGATTAAACGATCTATTTTTTGTTAATCATGTCTTTCTGATCATTTGTAATGTTTACAATGTTCCCCTATCTACTATATTTATTGCCAAAAACACAAACAAAATGAGTAAACATCGTCATGTTATGCCAGTTACTCCTATAAGGACTCGACTAACAATTGCTACTATGTTCGCCAATTTGTAGATTTTTTGTTTGTTTTTTTGTTTGTTTTTTAGTTTCTCTCTATTTTCAAGATTCAAACATAAAAACATGCAAAATATTGGTAAATTTTATCAGCAAGGGCAATAACTCCTTTAAAAAGTCGACCAACGATTTCGTAAAACTAATAAGTATATCATGTCTTGTAGATCATTTTCGCCATTAAACGTTTCTCTCTATCTATTATTGATTTCGAATATATATTGGCAATAACGCTAAACATGATGAACATCGTCATGTTGGGCCAATAACTCCTATAAGTAGTCAAGTGACGATTTCATTCTTGTTTGCCTTACTTGTAAATCTTGTCTTGCTGATAATTTTTACCTTTTAACATTTCTATCTATCCATTATAGGTTTCAAGATAATGGTAAATATCGGTATAGAGGGCAATTGCTCCAATACGGCGTCGTACGGTGACCTATAGTTGCTAACCTCTTATGTCATTTGGTCTTCATCTTTTATTAATTTTACAATTTTTTTTTTAATTCTTATATTGACTGACGATTTCGGCCACTACTTATTTATAGATCGTGTCTTGTTGAGAGTTTTGGTTCTCGTCATCTAGTAAAGTACTAGTTTTTAAGATACCAGGAAAACCTGGAAAAATATGCAAAATTCGTCATTTAAGGGTAATACATGTAATTCATGTAAGTCGTCTGCCAGTTTTGATGTAAATTGAAAGTAGGTCTTTTTTTACCCCTATTGTTTAAAAACCCAACAAACTAACTCTATTTCTACGATTTAAGAACTGGAAACTCACTATTAAGTTGATCTATGTAAAACAATCATGTCGATATCTGCATGTATATCTTCAGTTCGGTAGCCCAATTCTGATTGCTTATTTTGGGCACAGTGTCAGTTTCTCGAAAAAGATATATTATTAGTTATCTTGGTGTAATCAGGGGTGTACAGAATATTACACCGTTGTTGAAAATTCATACACCCTGAGGCGCAGCCGAATGGGTGTATGAATTTTCAACAACGGTGTAAAATTCCGTACACCCCTGATTACACCAAGATAACGAATTTATTTCTTATGAACAATTCCTTTACTCATTTTTAAACCGGGATGTAAAATTGAAAAATGCTAATGAAAAATTTCCAGTGTAACATTTTTTCAACGTTGATGTTGCTGCGTATTGTCAAATACTTTTTTTCTTTATTTTTGGGAAATTCAGAAAAAAAATTTTGTTCTTTTGAATTTTCGGGAAAACAAAATTTTTTTTAAAATTTATTTTTTCCTCAAATTTATTTATTTTTTATTTTTTATATTTTTTTTTCTCTCAAATTTATTTATTTTTTGTTTTTTATAAAAACAATTTTTTTTTACATTTTAATTATTTATTATTTTTATTTTTGACATTTAATTTTTTTTCTTTATTTTGGCAATTTTTTATTTTTTCATTTTTTGGCAAAATTTTATTTATCCCGGGGTGAACAAGGGTGGGGTGTTATTTACACCGGGGTAATTAACCAATCAGATTGCAGTATTTTTGCTGCATAAGAAATAATTAGTTGTATCCACCATGCTAAATTCTCTAACATCGAGATGTTAATAAGTTGGGATGAAATATTTTGATATTTTCGATTTGAATGTGTTATTATGAAATTCAACTAGATATGTTAGTCTAATTTTGAGAATACATAAATTAAAGGTATGTGCATCTGATAGATTTTATTAAATAAAATTGGTTCTGATTATCTTTCTTGATTAAATGACGTATAATACATTTTACACTTTAAAATACTGTTTTGTCTTTTAGGACATTATTTTTTATTTGCAATCTTGTCAAGATTGGCGAGGTTTTCATAAGTGATTTGTTGCTATTCAGGTTGTATGTTTGAATTTGTTGTTTATTTTAGACAATTCTTTTTTCCAGGAGTAAGATTGACCAGTGCCAAAGACTGTAAAACCCACAATATTGTTTACGATTCATATAATTGGGTGTACTGTTCCGGAGACTGCTGTAATATCTTGTACGATGACCCATGCTGCTATTATAAAACTACTTATACTACTTCCGGAACTAAATTGTATGTATTATGCTCTTAACGATACGTAAGTAATTATAATCATTATATTTTTAAAAGGGCAATTTTTGTTATTTTCAATAATGTTACCTGAGTATATTTGAGGGTCTAGATAACTATTTGATTAGAAGTATTGGTTTTCAGTGTTCATTTTTATTAACCAATGTTTCTGTTGTCTTTAATTCATGGTCTTTTCTTTATAGTTTAACAGAATGCATTTCTTTAAGATTTCAAGAGAGATTGGTTCCCAAAGATATTAAATTGGCCCTTATATTGCGACTTTTTTTTTTACTTTGACAGAATTTCCACAAATGTTCCATACAGACAGTTCTTATATACTGTAAATTCAGAAATAATGGCGTGCATTTATTATTGCGATTTTTCAAGGATGGACAAAAATGCGAGTTTAATTATTGCGATTTTTGCTATTTCGATAAAATCTGCATACAGGTCTATGTTTCAGTTATCAGAGTGCGAGTTCTTATTATTGCGATACTCACCCAGTCGCATTATTCGCATTTATAAAAACCTCGCAATAATTTCTGAATTTACAGTAACTAGTAATACAACATAATATCTTTTTGACATATCACATTACAAATTACCCAGTTTTGAACACAAAATCATGCATTGTTGATGTTGCAACGTCAGCGTTGCTCCAATTTTGCATAATGTATAACAGTTTTGTTCATAGATATATTATGAATTAGATAAAAAGATTGGAACCATTTGTAATTAATATATTTTAAGGACCTAGGTATTTCTGAATATTTTTGGAAAAAATTTACACGAGATAAAAAATTTATGACAAACTAACTGACTTTCGAAGCATAAAATGTACTATAAAGAGATTTGTTTTTCTTAGATTAAGATTATTGAAATAAGTTCATTTAAGAACCAAATTATTGCATTTTGATATTTTGTGATAAATTTGAAATTTAAATCTAAATTTTGGAAAGGGGCCTGGTTTTCGAAAGTATCTTATGATTAAGACGCGTGTTACCATGGCCTTAGGACATATCATACACGTAAGATATGTTTTTGGAAGTGTCCTAACTTTTATAGTAAACTTAAGACACGTTGAGACATGATTTATGATGGTCCTATGATTATCATAAAAGTTATTACATTACTTTGACTGATAAGTGTCAATTACTGCATTATTCTTTGCACATGCAGCCATAATACGCTGCCATTTAATTTTGTTTGTGTACTGTTTTTTGTTGTCTTGCTCAGTTAGCTAAAAAGTAGTGATATCTTAAAACTTAAATCTTTTGCGAAATAAAATATGGACTCCTTTTTTCTTTAAACATGATTATGTATAATGCATATATATTTATTATTTCTTTCCTTATATAGCAATTTGTTAATGTATTTGCACGGGCATTTCGTTTAGCAGGACTCGATTTACCAAATCTTAAAAGTATTCACAATTAAATAACGCTTCATGATTTTAATACATGAACGAGAACTTCAAGAATTTTATTATATATACTTATAAAGAAACTAAATGTAAACAAATAAATTCAGATTAAATTCTACATTCGATGACATATCATATTATATTTTAGGACAAATCTTAGGAAAGATTCGAAAAACCAGGACCCTGGTCCTTTAGAGTTATGACTTAACTAACAAAAACTATGGTTCGTTCATTTATAAAAAAAAGTCACATTGAAACTAACGTATAATGTAAAATATTAGAAGACCCCCACTTTTCCCTTCAAATGGATTTCCAGTGACCGTTCTGCAAACTGCTAACGAAAAGTGAAACGATTTTCAGGATAACATTCTATGAACAGCCTGATTTTAGTTACAGCAGATGATAACTTAATTTCTTGTCTCATTTGTAGCTTATGCCCCTTTAAGATTATAGATAAAAAGGGAAAAGTTGATTTGAGTGCCTTAACGTATTTTATTCCAAATAGCTATAAGTAGATGTGGTATGAATGGCAATGAAACAACTCTCCATCCAATTCACAATTTGTAAAAGTAAACCATTTTAGCATGTATAGGTCAAAGTACGGTTTTCAACACGGAATCTTGGGTCACACCGAGCAGCGAGCTATAAAGGGCCCCACAAATGACTAGTGTAAAACCATTCAGACAAGAAAACCAACGGTCTAATCTTTATGAAAACGAGAAACGAGAAACACTTATGAACCACATCAACAAACGACAACCACTGAACAACAGGTTCTTGACTTAGGACAGGTGCAAACAAATGCAGCGGGTTTAAACGTTTTAACAGGCAAATGGTCATATGTCTTCCCCATTCCAAGTCAGTAACCTTGTCAGATCTTTTTTCTTTAGTGAATTTGTTTTGATAGCAGATTTGAAATTGAGTCGCTCGTGTTTTTGTTCTTTGTGTTGCTTCCTTTACAATTACTTTTAAGGGATTTCTCCCTTTTGTTCACATCTGTTTAAGGAGAAGGTATGGTAAAAGAGAGGCGAAAGATACCAAAGGGACATTCACAATCATTAGTCGAAAAAAAGGAGACAATGCAATGGCGAAAAACAAAAAGACCAACAGACAAACAGACAAACATTAGTACACAAAACATAGACAACTCAAGACGAAAGAGCTATCATTTGGCACCTGGAACTGCAAATAGAGTTAAATTTTTCAAGCCATGTAAAATTAAATTACACATGCAATTGAGCAGACATGCAAATTCGATAACAAACTGTAGTTTAGAAATGTTACTAGTGCTGTCGCTACATGCATGACGTGTCAAAATTAACAAAGCTGACTGGAAATGACTTTGTTTACATTTTTTTGTCAAATTAGTTAAAAGCCAAGGTTTTCCTCAAACAGATATTACAATATTTCAAAATGTGGCTAATTGGGCATTCGTGTTTTGCAGTTTTGCACTAATTGCAAGAAGTTTGAAGCATGAGTGAAAATATGTAAAACAAATTAAAAAAATATAAATAATGATGTCTTATAGTCTGCTGTCTTGTGAACACATGTTGAATGTTATTCAGCAACTACTTAATACATTTTGATTTCCTAATTCAGAGTGCCAAAAAGTGGCTTTTAACCTTTTTTGAAAACTGACTCTACTCGTTGCGGAAATCGAGCATGATATTCCATGTAGACACTTATATCATGTGCATAATGCTGACCCCTGTATATATTGACCCCTAGCTGTCTTTTTTATATTCGTTTCTTTGTATTTCTGTCAAACGCACGTACGCCCAATTTGTTTTTAGAAATATATATAACTCCGTCACGATTTTATTTCCGATTACTCGTAGACTGAGTGCCTATTTTCCTTGAATGTATTTCTTTTAATCTATATGTAAATTCTTAGTATCATAGTTCCATGTGTGTACTTAGTTTCCTATCACAAAAATATAAACGCTCGAACATAACCAAAATCCTCAATTCTGACAGATTTTGGTCATTTTTTAAATAAAATGTATAAATAGGATATCTTTTTATACCAAACCGAAACTTCTGATGGAAGTAAGGCCAGATATTGTATATTGGATACAATTTTGGTCGTTTCTTTGTGTTTCTGTCAAACTAAGTACGCCCAACATTTTTTAAAAAGTGTATATAACTACATCACAATTTGATTTCTGATTATTCGTAGACTTAGTGCTTGGATTTATCTCAAAAGGTCTTCAATGAAATCTATATGTAAAATATTAGTATCATAATTCCTAAATTCATAAAAAATCAATCATATTTTCAAGATGGCCACGGCCTATTTCTAAAATGGCTGTTGTTACTAGTTCGTAAATACTTATTTTTCTTAAAAAAAATTATCAGGTTTGGTAGCTACCTTCCTTACATATGACGTATACACTAAAAATAAATAGTAGATATGTTCAGGGTTTACGCATGCGCGAAAATTTTACAAAAGTCACACAAACACCATTAGACTATTCACTGTATACTTAGTGTTTTTGAATTTTAAATGATTTTATGAATTGGTTTTATAGCATTTTTTAAAGTAATGATACACATGCGTTTACCAATTTTGCGCATGCGCAAACTATTTTCATATATAAACAGCGTTTGCACGCACTACCAGGGCATACTGGTGTAAATCGCAGCCGATTAGAAACACGGCATGGGGTCCATTGTCAGCTTTCATTTTTAAGTCTCCCAAATACTTTATGGTTTGCCCCTTAGTTTAAGCCATAAAGTCGTACCTGAATCAACAGAATGTTCCAACGCGGAATAGCCGAGCATAGGAGGAAAGGGCATTAATCCTCCGAATGGTGTATAGATCGCACGGGAGTTAAATAGCAGCGGATGAACGAACATGCAGGGTGTAGGTACAACATCAACGAACCCAATCGAATCCCATACAATAAAGTGTAGTTTCAGCTGGTAAAAGGATAATCCCTCGGCCTGTTAACAGTATATGTCCAAATATTTCGATAGTGACTTTTAGAAAAAGATTTAGTTTTGATTTCTATTTCGCAAATATTGTTGTTTTTGTCAGAGTTTATATTTGATTTGTTTTACAATGGCGAAAAGAATTCGTCTTTCATTAGTCTCAACAGATAGTTAGGAAAGAGGGACAAAAGATACCAGAAGGACAGTCAAACTCATAGGAAACTGACTGGTCAAAGTGTTGATTGTGTCAGGAAGACACAATTGAAACATTAAAATCAACTGCCGATCGGTATAAAATGTTGGCTACAAACATTCCTTAAGTTTCACGATATGAATAGCTTACCTCTACCGCTAGACGTTTGAAGGTTAAACAACGGTTTCGGAATTGAAAGCACTTTAATAATGAATGAGGCAAAATATCATCCAAATTGCAGAATTAAATTTAACAACACCAAACTGAAACGTGCCGAACAACGATACGAGTCAACATAATCAACAAAAAGTGAAACTGGTTGTTCACCTAAGTTCTTTCGCTGTCAGTTGATCGTTTGGATACAAAATTAAACAAGATATTGTCATATGTTTTTGTGTGACAAAGAGGCTCCCCTTTCGTCACTCAGGAAAGCAATGACCATGAAGCTGAATG